TTTTTTTTTTTTTTTTTTTTGGTACTGGGGATCAAACTCAGGTCTTTGCGCTTGCGATGCAGGCGGCGGAACCACCGAGCTGAATCCCTGGCCCTTGTTCTGTCTTCATTTTTGTAAAAGGGAGCTATTTCTTTTTCTTTCTGCCTTTTTTAGCCCTCTAGAGAGAGAGAGAACAGTTGATGAGCAGAAGACTGGCAGTTTCATAACTGAGTTAGAGTCTGTAAAGTCAGACATCCTGGGCTGAGCTCTTTCATTTTCTAGCCATGTGAACTTATGCCAAGTATCGGTCTCCTGGGTCTCAGTTCCTTTCTTCATAAAGTAGACTAATCATAGCACCTACCTGACTGGATTGCAAATCCAGCAATTAGTGTGCATGAAAGTGTTGTTAGTATTGTTATTTACTCATTTTTTTGTTCTTATTTATTATGTCCTCTGTATTGGAAAGTAATCATTCCAAAACAAAAGAATCCTGAGCTCTTTCCTCTTCAACAAGCAAGGCTGTTTATTATCTAGGGAGTTGAGTTTTGTTTAGAACAGAAGCCCTAGAGGGCAGAACCTGTTTGTCTGTTCAGCTTTCCAGCCCCAGCACAGAGAAGCGTGCTGAGGAAGCCCTTGTGATATGCAGACTGGAGTCCTGCAGTTACTGCAATAGCCTTGAATATATTTAAATAACAAAGTGTTCAGGAAAACAAGGACGGTTGAAAGAACACTGAGGAGAAGCACCCTGACATACTTCTTTACTAGGCTTTCCCCCAGCCAGAGGGTCTGGTAGGAGGCTGTGATGCACCATCATGGGCTTCCTTGCCCCTAGAACTTCCTTCAAGACCCAAGTAGCATTTCCATCCCGGTGGCTGTGACCTCTGGGCTTTTCCTCTGGATTAAGTAATCACCACCCACCGAGTCACAGCCCCAGTGGGTACTAAGGGGCTTAGAGATGCTCTGAATCCACACCTGAACAGGGTGAGAGGTTGGGAGGCCGAATCTGGGGAACACCCACCTGTCATTCCTTGGAAATGACACCCAATGGCCAAGACTCCCCAATCACCAGGGACTTGGTGATGTTTCTTACACAGGTTGTTGGGCTCTACTTGGAACAGTGGAGTTTGTATCAAGTCCATTAAACATGCATTTATTGCTTTGCAAAACATCTCCTGTTAAGCTACTAGGAAAAGTGCATCCCTAATCTTGCCTTTTATTCTGGTTTTCTAGAAAAACGAAGGAAAGCTACAGGATTGGGTCACTCACAGTGCATGCGCATCAAAGCCCATGATTGCTGTTGTTAAGAAAACCCCTCTCAGCCAGACTACTAACCGGATTAACTGACAGGTATGGAATTTCACTAATTTGAGTTTTACTATTTTTTAAAAAAATTTAAGATGTGTACCAGTTTAAAAAAAGATTTTTTAAAATTGAGTTTATTGGTACATTTTAGGTATACAGTATAAAAAAAGATTTTTAAAAAACCTGAAACCTAGAAACTAAGAAAACACTCAAGAATGAAATAGCAGCGACAAAGAGGAACCTGCAGGACTCCTTCAGCCCTCAGTTTTCCTCTGAAGCTGACGAATCACCAATTTGTAAAAGAAAACACTTAGGTGCATCCTGAGTCCACTCTTCAAATTCACGACACATGTAGCAAAAGAACTGAAGTCTGATCGCCCAGTCTTACAGAGCTTGTCTTCTGCTCCCTCTGGAAGGAGAGATTCTTTTTCTTTCCTCTCAGAGCGGAAAGCAGAAAGTCTGAGCGGAGGGATCCTCTGGTCTTCTCCTGAATCTGTCTCAGCTGAAACACCAATTGCTTCTCAAGTAGCATGGTTCCCATGCGTGCACACACACGCACACATACACACACACACACACACACACACGTGCGTGCGCACACTTCCGCGCATGCGTGTGTACAGTGGAGGCCGTTCTAAACCAGCCGCGATGTCATCTGGCTTGGACCTGGCTCCCTTCCTGGGCTCTCACATGTGACTTCATTGTTGCACACAATGACAGTGACAAGACAAAAGCACCAGGGACTTGGTTTCAGTTGCATCTGCGCTTCTGCTCATTGTCTTAATTACGCGGGCACCCCCGACCAGGGGTGGCGGGGGAGTTAGAAGCAGCCATCCCCGGAGCTGGCACCCACCTTCCGTGCTCTCAGCGAAGGGTTATGAAACTGCCCCACATTCGGCCGAGCAGAAACTTTTCACTCAACAGCTTGTCCAAGACAAACAAGTGGGCTGAAACTGTTTCTAGTTGCAACTAGACAGATTTTTGAAAGGAAAACAGTAGTGAGTAAATACTGTTTCCTATTGACACTGGGGAAGCTAAGACTGTTTTTAAAAAGCTGAGCTTCCTGCTCACTGGATTCAGTTGAAGAAATATATCTTCGTAAAGGAAGAAGGGTTAACTAACTCTTTAGTGAGGGAGCTGGGGAAGGGGTTAATTTACAGTGCTCCTCATTAGATGGGACATCTACTCCCAGGACAGCCCTTTCTTTCCTCCGTGATCTCTTGGTTCTTCCCCTAGCTCCAAACTTTCCTCTGGAAAGTTACCCAGACTTTTCAGTGCAGATCAGTGCGGACTAAGAACAATGCAAATAGAAACAGCCTTGCTCAACCATCGCAGAAACCTCGAAGTGTCCTGAACAGTTTTACTCGCTTGGCCAGATGATGTTGTTTACATCGGTCCGTGCTCCCGTCCCTTGAGCATTTATTTTATGCTGGGGATTATGTTGTGCATGTCCACCGTGTGTATCCTCTGATTGAATTCTCACGGATTTCTTCGGCATGTGTAGTAGCATCTTGACTGATACGTAAGCTGGCTTTAGCGTCTTCGTCTTTGACCCAGGAAGTTTTCAAGGGTAAAGAAGTCGCCTAATATCTGAGAGCGAACATGGAACGTGGGCTGGGATTTGAACTAGTTCTTCCTGGTTCTGTAGCTCATCCACTGACCGCTCTGCTACGCGATTCCTCAAGGGGTAAAGCAGTATTTGGTGTCTCACAGTCCAAGCCTCTTTCCAATAGCAATAACTGATAATGTCATGAGCTGCCCGTGACCTCCGCTGCTGGTAGGATGTGAACTTCTAGAGAAAGGCGGTGTCCTGGGCGCACCAGACTCTAATCCGGGAGAGTGGGCTCCCTCCCTTGCCGAACCCCGTTTGTATAGTTATTTATAGAGGTCTAGTCTTCGTTAGCAAAAGCTAACCCCAGCCCTGGCCCCCAGGCATCAGAGCCGCTTCTTTTCTCCCTGCCCGTCTTTGTGACATTGAGCCTGGACGATGGGATCTAAAAGGAGGATGACAGTGGGCTCTTTAAATTTCAGGGAGGAAGCGGTGATATTTTCAACAGACTCTGTTTCCATCTCCACCCACTCCAAACAAGTTAAGCATTGTATGGCCTAAAGTCTAAGAAAAGCCTGGCATCCTACAAAAGGTACTGGGAGAATCCTGCCCAGCAGGGAGGATTGGTAGTCCATTGTAGGGCACAGTCCCAACTGAGCACTGACCTCCCCGGAAGGGGAAGAGGGTTGACCTGCGGAGGACTGAGGGACAGCCCAGATGGAAACTCTTCGCTCGTCCCAAGGAAGTGACGCAGCTCTTCTGCGGAGTTGGCCAGGGACGCAGTGGATTGGGCAGGGGACTTTGGATGAACTGTTTGGGACACCTTTTTACTTCAGGGAATCCCAAGTTCAAATTCCAGGAGTTAGGTCAGCTTTTCACCTCTGGGAGCCAGGCCGAGTGAGCGTCATGCAGGCTGCTTGGCGGTTTGGGGTGTGATTTTAACACCAAAGGACCAGGAGACCTGTGCCCCCGTGGGAGTGGGGTGGGGGTGACCGGGCTGCTTCTAAAGCAGAATGGTCTGCCTGGCCTCACGTTGTTTTCTGAGACTGTGAGGTTAGGGTGGGATGGCCACCCCCGCAGTGTGACCTCTTCCTTTGGTCCTGGTAGACAGACTGGCCGCTGCGCTACGCAATGACTCCACATGGCAGGGAGAACTCTGTGCCCCCACAGACTG